ATGCAAGTATGTGCCCCTACCAAAATGAGGGAACACATAAAGAAAGGAATCTAAGAAACAAAAATTCAATACAGGAGGAAGGTGAAGGGAATTTCTGGATGATAAAGAAACTTCTAAGTTGATGGTTGGGTCAGAGGCTGAGACAGCAACCAGTTCAAATTGGAGAATGCCAGGAAGGAGGTTTCCAAGTGGAAGAGGAGAAGGGGTGGAAAGGGGAAGAGAAATGAAAACTCTGATAGGTTTTCTAATAGGCTTGATCTTATGAAAATGTGCTATAAAAGGGCATGGGAAGACCAAGCAATGTCTTAAACAAATCCATGCTTTAATGTGGAAATTCTTAACTCCAGGAAATAGAAGTGTATTAAAAAGGAAATACAATAAATACCACTTGATCTAATAGTGAATAATATCACATTGCCCTCAATGTGATAAGTATAGGTAAGGCAGAACATGAAATCCTCATCAGTAAACAGTACGTAAAATTAATGATTTAAAAGAGGAAGCAATATAAAAAATCATTTTAGAAATGAAGTTTCAATGAGGAACAAGAAAAGGGGTGAAGAGACATGGGGTAGGGAGCTTCTGTTAATTTCATTTTAAGTGTTTAACCAGTTTGCATTGGTTTCTGTCTCAGCCTCTGACTCAGAGCCACTGAAAAGACTGGAATTCTTGCTACTGTCTATATCATATACATTTTACTATGTTAGAAGCAGAGGTTCTCCAGATTGAGAGAATTATTCCCAAAGCTGCTGTGTTCCTTTTTGGGTTATTTTTGTCTTAAACAAATAGCCACAGAAAGTTAATAACATTTTGATAATGATGAAATAATTTAGAATGATAGAATACTGCTTTCCTTAAAATACTACTTTAACTAAATAAGATATCAAAAAATAAATTATCAAAGGCTAGCCTGGGAACTTAATAAACATTTAGTATAGTCATCCCTTGGTATCTGGGACTGATTATAGCATATTTCACAGATACAAATTCCACAGATGCTTAAGTCTCTTACAATGCATAATAATGTTATATAATGCAATTTACTATGATATATTTGCAAATGCATATATATATACCTACATATATCCTGCAACTTTAAATCCTCTCTATTAGTATTTTTTTGAGGTGGGGTACTAGGGATTGAACCCAGGGCGTCACATATGCTAGGCAAGTGCTTTAGCAGTGAGCTACAACTCCAGGGTTTGTATTTTTTTTTTTTTTTAATTTTGAGTTGGGGTTTCTAATTGTCCAGGGTGACCCTGAATTTGCAATCCTCCTGCCTCGGCCTCCTAGGTAGCTGGGATTACAGGTGTGTGCCTTCATGCCCAGTTCTAGATTATTTATAATACCTACTATAGTAGAAATACTATATAAATAGTTACACTGTATTGTTTAGGAAACAATGACAATATAAAAAAGTCTATATGTGTTCAGTACAGATGCAAGCACTGTAGGTATAACTACATTTTCAATATGTGGCTGACTGAATCCATGGATATGGAAACCACATATATAAAGTGCTGACTGTGCATTATTCCTACAGGAAAATGAATTGGAAGGGGTGGGGAAGAAGATAGGCAACTGATATGAAATAATTGTTCATTCTGTGCTAAGAAACAAATTAGGTGTTCTAAATAGTTATTTCATTTGGTCCCTAATAAGTTTGGAGATAAAAAAATAATTTGTTCAAGGTCACACAGTCCCTTGAACACAGACAGGTCATAAAATAATTTTAAAAAACTATAGGAAAATTTAAATATTACATAACAATAAGCAAATAATTCAATTTATTTATAAAAATTTCTTTCAAGCTGGGAATATAGCTCATCAGTAGAGGGTTTGTCTAGAATGTATAGGGCCTGGGGCTCAATCTCCAGCACCACAGAAATAAAGAAGAAAAGAGGGATGGGGTGAAGGGGAGAGGGGAAGGAGGGAGGGAAAAAATTTTTCTTATTCTTTCCATGTTGCTAAGCCCCAAAATGTTCAAATACAAATTTGGTCAACCAGATTATTATTATTATAGTAATTTCATTAGAATCATACTTACTTGAATGTGGCAAGAGCACTGTAGCAAAGATGCTATTGCTACCTATTGGAATGAGAAAAATTAATTTGAAAAGATAGTAACATGTATGGTTTTATTTTTTACATGTCAGCATAAAGTAACATGTAATATACATAGCACACAATTTTATCACCATCTTTTAATGTGTCGGTTTTTTTTAGAAAGATGAAACTATTCTTTGTACCTAGAATGTTTTTCTCTTTCTTAGTGTAATTGGTTCCCCTTCTATCACAGTCCCTTTCAATTTTCCTCACTGAACTTATGTACTTATTTTCTTATTCACTGCCCGTTGCTCCCTTTCAAGTGGTGGTGAGGTCCCAAAAGTACTAAATAAATCTTTGTTGAATGAATAAATCAGAAAACAACATGCATTAACAAATGCATAAATGTGATAATCACCATTTTCACATTTAGATGCCACTTTTCATACTGATTTGATTACAAAGGATTCTATAGTTTATTAATTAAAATGATGAGAATTATCTGAAACATAAATTCCTTTTTTACCAAATGGTTTGTATCAAATACTTACCACAGGAACTATTGAGATCCATATCTGAAAACACACTATGTTCTGAAGAAGCAGACACTGGTGGAGTAGATGGTGTATTTGGAGAGGTTGGTGCTGACACTGTTGATTCGAGCTCAGTTTCAGCAACCCGACTAAAGCTTATCTTATAAGGTTCTCTTTCTAATGGTGTTGGATGACCTCGTAAAGTGCCTGAGGTAGAGCCATGCCGGCCTGAATTAGGCCTTATTCCAGGAGATTTTAAGGAGTAGGTTGATTTCCTAGCCTAGGAAAAGTAAACATAATTAGTATCATTTATTTTCATGAGTTACATTATTAGTTAATTAGTTCTCAAGGAACCAGTTAATTAATTCTCAAGGAACAAATTAAAAGAGTGCAACAAAATACCAATCTGCAGGGGCAGTTTGTGGTATTCTAGTAATAACTTCTGGATTTAACTGGATTAATTTAAAAATGAACTTGAATATAAGTAAATCTCTTTTAATAACTGTAGAAATAAAATGCCTAAAAAATTGTGTCAAAACAACCTTTAGCTCCTAAAACACTTGCATCTAAACTTTTCTTTCAAATAACTTATATCAATTTAATAAATATTTACTGGGAACATAATTTATGTTTATATTATGTTATGTGCTTCACTTTTTAAAAAGTCCCCTTTTCCCCTTTTCTTATACTAAATGTTCAATCTCTACAACAGTGCTTTCAAAACCCTTTGGTGAAGAGGGCTATCATTGTTCCCTATCCTAAACTCCGTCCCAATTTTAAAACTCTGGCAGTGGTAACTTGATGAAAAAACAAAAAACTCAGATTCATAAATTTGAGTTGGAGGCAAATGCTGTGGTAAATGCCTATAATCCCAGCTACTCAGGAGGATGAGGCAGGAGGATTGTCAAGTTTGAGGCCAGCTTGGATATTGTGGTTTGGATATGTGGTATCCCCCAAAAGTTGATGTGTGAGACAATGAGGGAATGTTAAGGGGTGAAATGATCAGATTATGAGACCTATAACAATCAGTGGATTAATTCACTTCAATGAATTAACTGAGTCGTAACTATGGGCAGGTAGGGTGTAGCTGAAGGAAGTATATCACTGGGAGCTATACCTTTGGGTTTATATTTTGACCCTGGTGAGAAAGAGTGCTTCTGCTGCCTGGTTTCCACATCTTGAGCTGCTTTACCTCTTTCTCGCCTTTCTGCTTCTGCCTGATGTTCTATCTCACCTCAGGCCCAAAGTTAGAGGTCCACTGACCATGGACTGAACCTCTGAAACCATGAGCCAAAATAAACTTTTTCCTGTTGATGTTGTTCTTGTTGGTCATAGTGATGAAAAAGTGACTAAAACACTGGGCAATGTAAGAGACATCCTGTCTCTAAAATTAAAAAAAAAAAAAGACTGGGGATATAGCTTAGTGGTAGAGCCCTTGCCTTCCATGCATGGGGCCCTGAGATAGATCCCTAGCACCCGCTCAAAAAACGTTTGAGTTAAAATCTCAACTGTGCCAAAAACTAGCTGTTCAGTCTTGAAAAAGTTATTTAATCTCTTTGAGCCTCAATTTTTTTATTTATAAAGTAAGGATAATCTCTATCACATACTGATGTGAGAATGAGATACCATGCAACTACCTAGTTTACTGCTTTGCCAAAGGGAGTCCGTTTATAAATGTTTTTTACTTTTTTCCAAATCTTGCTTCACTTTCAGCTACTTAGAATTAGTCTTCCATTATTTCTGTTGCCACTGCAAACCTGTGGAATAACTAGAAAGTGTAGAAGCAATTCCTAGTGTGAGAGATGGGTTTCACTGGCAACCACAGACCATGGAGCCCTAATGGCAAGAGCCAATGGTCAAGCAAAAAAAAAACTATATACTACTGCTTAGTCTTTTCCCAGTTCTTTTCACTTCCTTTGTTCCATTCAGCTACTGCTAGGCTCTCATATTCTCACACCTGTTTTTCTTATACTAGAAGGGATCAAAAATGGACAGATAAGTGGTACTAGGACAAAGAATACATCAGATTTTATCAAAAAAGCTGATATCTTCCTTTACAGTATACATAATTTTAGAAATAGTACTATAAAAAATCTAAAAATAGCTATTTGATTACAATTTTAAGGAAACAGGTTGTTAAATATTAAAAATAATATTTTCCAACATTGTCATGGACTTACAAATCGAGGAGGCTGTTTGCAGTTTCGGGGTTCGATTTCTAGTGACTTGTTGAACAAATAATCTGTAAACTCTTTTTCAGATGAGCTTCCCATGGGGTTAAGGTTTTCAAAGAACCTCTGGAATTAAAGAAATACTTCTAAGTATATACTTTAGATCTTATTACAATAAGATCTTACTCAAAATTTTAGTGAAAATTATTTATTTTATCATTTTTAAAACTAAAAAATTAAGAGATCACAATGTCTGGAAAGGTTACAAAGACTGTTTATTCCAGTCGCTCTACTTTTCAATAAGATTACATAATTTCTCTGGAAGTCGTATTCTAGTCAAACATTATTATTATAGGATGAACAGATTTTAATGGCTCAGTAGTTAACACTTATCCTTTAGTAGTCCTACTACTATAATTATAACATAATGATCACGAGTAAGCTAACAAAAGTGTTTAGAACCAAAATTATAGTTAAAAAACCACAACAGAACTTTGATAATTGGAAAGACGTATTCAAAAGTAATCAAGAGAAATTATAATAAACTTTATAACTTATCTGTGTCAAATTCTGGTACAAAAGTATTTTTATCAAAAATATTTTATCTTTATCAAAAATATTCACCAAATATTTTGCAAGTAAAAATTTAAGTTCCGAAGTAGGAAATTTAATACTTCAGCAAAGTGCTCCCCTCAAAAAAAAAAAAAAAAAAGGAATCTCACTAATTAGAAACCGCCCTGTTTATATTTTACTATATTTTCTGGTGTTTTATTATGTGTGATTATATATACATAAATAAATAAATAGAAACTTTTTCTTTTTTGCAAAATTGGGGTAACATCATATTTATTTTTAATCTTTTTAAAAGTTTATAGTCAAGTTGTTCCCATGTGGTTTACTTATCTTATAAAGTACAAATTTTAACTCTATGGAATTTTATCAGACATGTTCCAGAATTCATTTCACTAATCCTATATGGGCAGTTATCCAGATAAAAGCCTTTTAATTCTCTGCTATAATAATAATTATTAACTCCTGGTGCATATATTTTTCTACATAATTCTTATGGTTATCTTTGAAAAATCCTTAGAAGCAAATTTCTGGATTTAGCTTTATTTCATTTTTGAGTGTTTAAGAAGCAAGTAAAAGATATTTATTGGGTTTGGCTTTTGTAAGAGGCAAAATGAACTTGAAAAGTATATCACTCCTCTCACAGAAACAATTACTTTTTATATTCAAGTTAGCTAACTTAAATTACACTAGCCAACGGTAATTTAAAAACTTTTAGAAAGCTGTATTTTTAATTTTCTCATCATTTGCTCTAACTTAAAAATACTATTTAGTTTGGTTAACGTTGGTTTGTAAAATGAATAACTTAGTTTGTATACATTTTAAATGTACTTTGATTCAATCATAAAGAGGCATTCCCCTTCTCCAAAATGCTTTAAATGATGGTAAGAAACCTAGATCAGAACAAAAAACCTATTGGCATATATGCTACTGAGATACAAATGCTTAAAGTATTATTTCAAGTATACCCAATGACAATGTAAAATTATTTCTGTGGAAAAAATATATTGTGAACTCTAATCTGACTTTAAGAACACATTTTCTTATTAGCCTTCTGAAGATCCACATAGAGAGGGTGGGCCCAATGAAACAGGCAACAAAAATTACTATTTACTTTAAAACAGTTATATGTCTGCATTTTAATTAATGGTATGCTTTAGGTCATTCTTTCTAAGGACTGTAGAGTATTTGAACTGGGAACAAAGAATAGTAACTATCTCATAATTCAGGAGGGTAGATTTGATAGTGGCTATTTTCATTCAATATGCCCAATTTGTAGATTATGTTTAAGAGTGTAGCATAATTTTTTTTTAGAACATATATATTTAATGCACAGGATTAGAAACAAGAATTAAATTAAAAATATTTTTTTAATATTTATTTCTTAGTTTTCGGCGGACACAACATCTTTGTTTGTATGTGGTGCTGAGGATCAAACCCGGGCCGCACGCATGCCAGGCAAGCGCGCTACCGCTTGAGCCACATCCCCAGCCCAAAAGACCTTTTGATAATAAGCACAAGTTTCCTAAGTCTATGAATATTTAGTTGCAAATATTAATACTCCAAGTAACTCCTTCTTTACAGGAAAAACTCAAAACCCTGTTCTTTAGGAAGACATGAAAAGCAAATAACACATTAAGATCAGTCACTAGGTCTAGGGTTGTGGCTCAGTGGTAGAGTGCTTGCCAAGCATGTGTGAGGCACTGGGTTCGATTCTCAGCATTGCATGCAAAAAAAAAAAAAAATTCAATCATTAATATTTCTCCCCTTCCCTTAGATAATCTGAGGGTACTAAACATTTGATGCTTATTACCCTCAGTATGAATAAATAAGTTAATTAAATATTCGTTATAAGGCAGAGTCTAAAACTAATTTTACTATAAAAAAGGTATAAAACCTGAGTCAATAAATACAAACTTCATTATTGTGTATGCCCCATGCTTCCTTTTCTTTTTTTTTATTTACTTGTTTTTATGTGTGCTGAGGATCAAATCCAGGGCCTCGCACATGCTAGGCAAGTGCCCTACCGCTGAGCCATGACCCCCCACCCCATGCTTCCTTTTCTATTCCAGTGGTATCTGCTTCTTTTTTGTCCAATGTTATCTTCTGCAGGACCCCAAGGTATTAAATTGCTTAACATCACCAGGGCCTCATTTATAAAAAGATCTATTTGGGCTGGGGTTGTGGTTCATTGATAGAGAGCTCGCCTAGCACGTGTGAGGCACTGGGTTCAATCTTCAGCACCACATAAAACATAACAAATAAAATAAAGGTATTGTCCATTTATAACTAAAAATATTTTTTAAAAGGAGAGATTTATTATAGAAATAAAAACAACTTTCTTGTTTACCAAAGATCAAAGATGGGTCTTTTTTTTTTTTTTTTTCTGCTTGTTTCTTCAACCAGTTATAACATCTTCATGTAAAGCAAAGTTACTGGGCAAGAGCAGAACCCTATGCTGGCTATTTCATAGTATAATGGCTGGTTAATAAAGAAGCCACCCATTTAACCCTTTTTTCACCTGGTATTATCCAAAGAATAAGCCAAAAGGACCAGGATCACAAAGACTTATAAACAAGGTACAATTATATATTTTCAGCTGTAGTTTTACTTCTTCAATCATGCCCCCAAATGAGCCATTATTGAATCAAGAATCTCTCTCCACTTATTAGAAAACTCTAATGAACAGAGGCTTCAAAGACTAGTTCAAGGCAGTACAGCTACTTGAGAAGAGTGGACCAAAAAAGATGGGGAACATAAGAAAGAGTGAACAAAGGAAAACTACTTTTTTACAGGTTCTTTGTTTTTGCTACTGAGAAATTAAGATATTTTCAGTCTTTTGCTTTCCTTTTCCACATTGTCTCTAATGTTCTGGAGTTTCTTACATTTCTGGACCAGGGACACCAAACTCTCCCTAAAATCACTAGTCCCATGATCTCTGCCAACATTTTCAAGCTCATCAAACAAAGTCAAAGTCTGTTTGAGTTTGGCTTGAACAATTTTTTGCTCTTCTAATTCTGCAAGAAGGGCCTGCTTAGTACATAATTCAGTCTTATACTTTTCCTGTAATTCTTCAATTTCTTTTTGGAGAAGCTGGAATTCTTCTTCACTATAAGGATGCGTCTCCTGACATTTGTCTTCAGGAAGCAAGATATTTGGGGGAATACGCAAAATCAACTGCAAAAACAGCTGCTCCATTTTGCCAAAAAGTTTATCAAAACGTCCTTTCATGAAGCAAAGAAACTTCTCTGTGCATTTACGAATCTGGACTGGGCTAATATCACAGTCTGGGATTCCCTCCAGCTTCTTCATAATAACCTGTTCAACAGCCTGCATCACTTCAAATAGGTAATCTTGAAATGCAATATAGATCCTAAGCATGCAAGTCTCTGGTGTGAAGCCAAAGAACTGGGCCTCATAGGTCATTGGATCCATTGACATCTTGGTTTACTTTGCTATTTTCAATTATGAAAAATCGTAGCTACCATGGAGGTGATGAAGTCGATCACACACAAGCGTCCCGCTATCTCCTTTAAGGCACCGCGATCTGCCAAAGATGGGCGGCACTGCTGGCACCTCAAAATTCTGACTCAAGAGTGTAGCATAATTTTTAACATGACAAGTTAAATTACAATATGTTCTCAATTTCAAATACATATGATATATTAAGTTCATTTACTATAAACATGGTATCATAATCCACTCTAATTTAGATGGCATCCCACATTTTTTTTCCCCGTTAGGAAAAAAGTACAATCCTAACTTTCTTGGGACAAAAATTTCAATAAAGACAGAAATGGCAATAGGCCACTAGATAGACATATTGTCAGAGTTAAAACTAAAATAATGCATTCCTTTAATGCTCAACTTAAAATGAGACAAAGCCATAGAATACACTAAGCATAATGTTTCTAAGAGGGTTCATCATGAGATTTCCACTACCAAAATATTAGCAAGAATGTATGTTCCTAGTGAATTAAAGTATACCTGTAGGAAAGCCAGAAGATGCACACTTATGATATCACAGTATCAGTATTATACACCATTGTTTAAAATAGAACATCAATTGATAGAATATTTGAGTCCTTTTGTGCTATGCATATATACCACTCTTCCAAACTCTTCTCCTACTTAAGCATAGTGATCTTCTGAGAAGATAAGTTATTTAATGTTATACTGGCTTACATAAAATATTTAAGATGGTTATCCATCAATGATGAAATTAGTAGTGGATTTTTACTGCATGGACATCAGAAAAACTTCTTTTGTTCAACTTTGCCATTCACTTTTTTGGAAGTGTTGCTTGAACCAACTCAACAAAGAAGTGATATTTTCAAGAGAAAGCACTTCATATTAATAACTGCAGATAGTGTAGGTATAATATTTAACATTGTTAACCACCAATTATTAACTCATTTTATTTACAAAGCAAAATAAACAGCATGATATATGATTATGGTATTTCGTAGAGATCACCCAGTACTTAACACATTCCCTTTTAAAGACAAGAAAAAAAAATATTTACCCTCATTTCTGGTTCTATTCGTAAACAATAAGGCTGATTCTGATATTGCTGAATTTCTCCAGTAATTTCTGCCACTTTTCTCCTCTTACTGAAATTGATTAAATCTTTCCCTTTCTTTTTTAAAAAATCATTATTCCCTTCTTCAGTCTTCAGAATATTTGTTAAATATATTCCTAGTGAAAAAAATATTTAAAGAAAATTTATTTTAAAATTGGTCATTTAATCAATCATTTGGAAAAACAATCTTGTAAAACTGAAAGACTTACTAGCAATTCCACTCCATAATGTTGATAAGGCAAGGCTCTGATAGACTTTATGATTATGATTAGTTCTCCATTAAATTTTTTTAACATAGAAAAATTTTAAAATAAAAAGAAAATAAAGGCTACTAGTCTAAGAAATAGCAAATTAAGCTTTCCTAAACCGTGTTTACAAAGTCTAAATTATAAGTTTTAAATCGAACCAAAATTTTTAATGCTTGATTTTATTTATTTATTTATTTTTCACATTACAACACTTTCAAATTTTTATTGAGTATGGTCTTATTACCTCTGTAATAATGCTTGATTTTATTTTTTTATTATTATTTTTTTAATTTTTAATATTTTATTTTTTTAGTTATTGGCGGACACAACATCTTTGTTTGTATGTGGTGCTGAGGATCGAACCCGGGCCGCACGCATGCCAGGCGAGCGCGCTACCGCTTGAGCCACATCCCCAGCCCCTAATGCTTGATTTTAAATATTTATTTTCAATAATCTTTAAGTGATCATCAATATCATAAGCACTGCTGATTAATAAGAGTTCAGACTTAAATTGTTTTCTCAGAGCCCATGATTTAGATTTAAAAACCAATTATATTTTAATATTTCACAATAGAAACTTTAATCTCCTTTTTTGAATAATTACTAATATATTTAAATTAGTAGTTATCAATTGATCATTTTGTTCCTCAGAGTGTATTGGAAATGTCTGGAGACATTTCTGGTTATCATGATGTGGGTGTTACCAGCATATAGTAAACAGGAAACTAGGAGGCTACTAAACATCCTACAAGCACATGACATTTATTCATTTATTTGATTCATATGCCAATAGTGCTGAGGTTGGAAAACCTTGATTTAAATAAATTATACAATTTCAACAGTTTAGTCATACATCACATTATTATATTTATATAAAAATGATCTATAAGGCTAGAATGGAGGGGCTAGGAGTATAGCCTAGTGATAAGAACAAGTGCTTAGCATGTGAGAGGCCCTGGGTTAAATCACCAGCATGAATGTGTGTGTGCCCGTGCATGCGCGCACGCACATACACACACACACACAGACTAGAATTAAGCTGAAAAACTGCTGTAACATTATAGTACAATATGTTACTCAAGTGTTTGTAGTGATGCTGGTGTAAACAAACCCACTGTTGCTGCCCACCATATTAAAGTATAGCACATAAAACACACCACGTATACGACAGTGGTCCCATAAGATTATAATAGAATTGAAAAAATCCTCATTGCCTAGAGATGTAGCTGTCATGATGCCAACATAACACATTTTTCAAGCCTGCATAAACAGACCTGTCAGAAAAGTATAGCATGTTTGTCTATGAACAGTACTTAATACTTGATAATAGTAATAAATGACTATGTTACTGGTTTATGCATTTACTATACTACACTTTTTATCATTACTTTATAACAAAAACATTTACTACAAAACAGTATTCTATATTATGCCACAAGCAGCCACACATGTATCATCTATGTTGAATGCATCATCTATGCTGAATGCATCAAGAGATCACATTCAAAGCAGGTGCACACACCTAAAGTTCCAGCTACTCAGAAGGCTGAAGCAAAAGGATTGCTTGACCCAGGAATTTGAGACCTGCCTGGGAAACATAGCAAGACCCCATTGCAAAGCAAAACAAAACAAACAGGCAATGTTGAGTAATTGACTTATACCATCTATAATTGTGTGAATACACTGTTTGCATAACAGAATTGCTGCCTACTGATGCATTTATCAGAGTATGTCCTTGTCATTAAGCAATGCATGAATGTATTTAAGAAAAGTTCACTTTATAAAACTTTGCCTAATATATAACAATTCTGAGTTTATTTTTTATTAGTGTATTAAAATTATACATAATAGTGGAATTAGTTGTTACATGTTTGTACATGCACACAATAATATGATTTGTTCAAAGTTGTTCCAATTCTGAGTTTTAACAAATCACTTAAAAGCCTTTAATAAAGAGAAAACAAACACTGTAGATATGACATAAATAGATAAAAACAATAGTTACCACTCTCTGAGTGCCTGTTCTGATAGGATTTGTATTAGGTCGTATAGATAAAATATTTTTAATTCTTACAACTCCATGAGGTAATTATTATAACTTGCATTTTACAGACAAATAAATAATAGAGTTCTAAGTTTTATTTATCAATACAGATGAAAATAGACAAGGTAATATAAAATATGAACAACTGACCTCTAAAGACTGGCCTCTTTGGACTATAACACATTTTCCCTCAAAATACAATATCCATCTTTAGTAACTTACCAAAAAAAGGCACACAAGGTGGATTGATTGACTTTAGTTTTACTAGGTATTTTTTAAAGTGATCTTGACTTAATTCCACAGCTTCATCTAAAATTTTCCGTTTTCTTTCCTGTAATGCCTTAAAAACATATAAAATGAGCATAATCTCTGTTTATAATTCAATCAAATGTATGGATACAGAACTTTAGAAATTATAAAATTTTGCAAACATTTGAAAAAATATTTTTTAAAATTAAAATAAGAGAGGTAATCCTTTGGGCATTTGCCTAAAGTGATTTATCCTCTTTTTATCTATAATATAAAATCTAAAACCTTAAGTTTTTCCTAAAACAAATTAGAAGATTAAGCAATCAAAAAATTTCATCCTCAGGACCTTGATAGTCATAATTTTGATTAGCCAGAGTTTCAAGTCACAGATGTAGGAAGGGAGAATCATAATTGTTCAGCATTTAAGTACTTTTCCACTGAAAGGTCTTTGGGGGACAAGGGTGGAGTTTTGGTAAAGAGATGACTACAGGAGGGTAAGAAAGCATTAACAAATTTAGTTAATGTAATAAACAGGAATTTCTTTTTAAATTTCATTGTTAGATTTTCTTACTAGAAGTTAGTTTATAACTTGATAAGAGCAAACATTATACTTGAGAACCATTCAATATATTTCCTTTAAGTTATGAAGAAAACAAGAGTGCACCATAGCTTTTATTCAAATCTATCCAAAAGTCCTAGCTAAAATGGACAAGAAACAAAATAAATAACTAGGAATTGCAAAGAAAAGGAAAAAAAAAGAAAGAAAAACGTCACTATTTACAGAGATTATGACTATCCACAAAGAAACTCCAAAACTCTATCTGCAAAGTGTTAATAAGAGAATTTACTAATGTTGCTGTGTCAAAAATCAACTAGATATGAAAATCTTTCATCAATAAGGAAAATGATTTTTTAAAAAAAGTCAAACATAAATCTAACAAAAAAAAGTATGAAGTCTCTATCAAGAAAACCATAAGACAGTATTAAATGGGTAAATAAATGGAGAGATATACCATGTTCTCAGTTGGGAAGACTCATGACTGTAAATTGGCACTAATTGATTTTACAGATCTAATGCAACTTCTATTAAAGTTCCAACTTTCAACATGGCAATGGTGGCACATGCCTGTAATCCCAACGACACAGGAGGCTGAGACAGAAGGACTGCAAATTCAGCCTCAGCAATTTAGCAAGATCCTCAGCTACAAAGCAAGACCCTGTCTTAAAATAAAAAGGGCTACAAATGTGACTCAGTGGTAAAATGCCCCCTGGTTCAATCCTCAGTACCAATAATAATAATAACAATCCAATTTTTAAAAATGAAGCTTAAAATTATTCTAAAATTTATATATGAAAATAAAGGTCTAAGACTAAGTCAACCTTGAAAGATTGCTAAAAGATCTGCTCTACTTTCTTTTCAAGAATTATTATACAAGTAGGCTGGGGCTGTAGCCCAGTGGCAGAGCACTTGCCTAGCACATTTGAGGCACTGGGTTTGATCCTCAACACCACATACATCTACAACTAAAAATAGAAAAAAATATAAAAAGACCAGAAACAGGACCACACATAAGGATACTAAATTTATGACAGCTGACACTATAGGTCAATGGGGGAAAAATGAATTAACAATAAATGAATACAAACAACTGGGTAGCCTTATGGAAAAAAAAATGAAATAGTAGGGGCTGGGGTTGTGGCTCAATGGTAGAGTACTTGCCTAGCATATGTGAGGCAGTGGGTTCAATTCTCAGCACTGCATACAAATAAATAAAATAAAGGTCCATTGACAACTAAAAAAATTATTTTTAAAAATGAAATAATATTTCAACCTCACCCCATATTCAAAACTCATTTCCACCTAGAGTAAGGATTTAATGAGAAAGATAAAACATTAGGATAATGGGGGGGCAATTAAAGTGGAGAACAAAAGCATAAATAACAAAGAAAAAAATAAGTAAATTTGACTACATTAAGAATTCTTGTTCATCAAAATACATCACAAAAGAGATGAAAAGGGGAGCTTCTATCTGGGAAAAGATACATGATGAAATATTAGAATCCAGAATATAAGAGCATTTGTATATAATCATTTAAAGTTAAAAATTTCCACAAGAAGAACCAAATAGAGGTTCAAACTCATTAAAAATCAGGAAAATATAAAACAAAACCACAATAATGGAAAAGTTAAAGGCCTGAAAATATCAAGTATTGATGAGAATATAAAATAACTGGATCTCATACATTTCTGATGGGAGTGTGAATTGGTACAATTACTTGAGAGAACAACTTGGCATTATCTAGTAAAGTTGAAGACATCTATATCCTAAATTCTACTTTTAGAGTAATATATTTGGGTAT